GGCAGACTGGCCTTTATTTCAAACTTTATGCACATCTAAACTAAGACCCGAATGTTTCAGTGATATTGCTGATCCTATTCAGGTATTTTCTGATGTTTTAAATGTAATAGCTAATGAGTGTATACCAAAGTCCTCTACAACTCCACATGTGCGAAAGCCAGGGTTTAATGCAGACTGTAAAAATGCTAGAAAAGCGAGGAAAAAGGCAGAGAAATATTTCCGCCATCACCCAACTGTCCACAACTTAAATCAATTTAAAATGCGCAATGCGAAGGCACGTCGCACCTTCAAACAAAATAAACGGCAATCTTGGAGTAACTATGTCTCCAAAATTAACTCACGTACGTCAATGTCTAAGGTATGGAACATGGTTCAAAGAATTAAAGGCAAAGGATCAAAATCTGCTGTTCACCATCTTAAAGATGGTGATAATTTAATTACTGACAAGTGTCAAATTGCAGATAAAATTGGCAAAACTCTTGCCAAAAATTCTTCATCGGCAAATTATGTCCCTGAGTTTCAGAGATATCAGAAACAACAGGAAAAGACCAAAGTTAATTTTGAATCAAATAATGGTGAAGACTATAATGAACTGTTTTCATTACATGAGCTATATACAGCTCTTGAGCAAGCTCATGACACTGCAGCGGGAGATGACAACATTCATTACCAGCTACTGAAACACTTGCCTGAGCCATGTCTGGTCACACTTTTAGATTTATTTGACAAAAAATTTCCCTCCCTCGTGGCTTAATGCCATTGTAGTCCCCATTCCAAAACCTGGCAAGGATCATACAGATCCGTCGAATTACAGACCAATATCTCTAACTAGCTGTGTCTGTAAAACCATGGAACGTATGGTGAATAATAGATTAACTTGGTATCTTGAAACCAATAACCTTATAACAAATATTCAATGTGGTTTCAGGAAAAATCGTAGTACCATTGATCATTTGGTACGATTAGAATCCTTTGTTAAGAATGATATAGTAAATAAACAACATGCTGTATCCATTTTCTTTGACCTTGAGAAAGCCTATGATACGACATGGAAGCATGGCATTTTGAAGGATTTACATGATTTTGGTTTGAGGGGCCGGTTGCCTCTTTTTATATCACAGTTTTTAAAAGACAGACAATTTCAAGTCCGAGTGGGTACAACCCTGTCTGATCATTACAATCAGGACCAGGGTGTCCCTCAAGGCAGTATTTTGTCTGTCACTTTATTTAGTATCAAGATCAACAGTTTATCCAAGGTTTTAAACGATTCAATTGATGGATCACTTTTTGTGGATGATTTTAATATTTCTTGTCGCGGTAAGAATATGCATACTATTGAACGGCAACTGCAGTTATGTTTAAATATAATAAATAAATGGTGTCTTGAAAACGGCTTTAAATTTTCCAAGTCCAAAACTAATTGTCTACACTTTTGTAGAAAATATAAGCCTCATAAGGATCCAGAACTATCTTTAAATGGCACGCCAATCAAAGTTGTAAAGGAGGCCAAGTTCTTGGGCCTTATTTTTGACTCACATTTAACTTTTTTGCCGCATATTAAATCCCTTAAAGCCAAATGCCTGAAGGCACTCGATTTGTTGAAAGTTGTTTCAAACTCAAAGTTGGGAGGGGATCAAACTACCCTCCTCCACCTATATCGATCATTGGTTCGCTCAAAGCTTGATTCTGGTTCTATCGTATATGGTGGCGCCTGCAAAAGCAACCTAAAATTACTTGATTCTGTCCACCACCAAGGTCTACGACTTTGTCTTGGGTCCTTTAGAACCTCTCCTGTCGACAGTATCTACGTCGAGGCTGATGAGCCATCTCTTAAACAACGCCGTATAAAATTGTCCTTGCAATATATAACAAAACTTTATTCTAACGAGTCTAATCCTGCATTTAACTGCGTCTTTAATCCTCTCTATGAGGATTTGTACAACAAAAAGCCTTCTCTTGTTCCGCCTCTTGGTTTAAGAATTAAGCCATTTCTGTTTGCTGCCGGCATTGAGCTGGAAAATATAGCTCCTTCCCGTCTTCTTTCTTCTCCTCCTTGGCAATTGGTGAGGCCTGAAGTTGACCTCACTCTGACAAGGTTTAAGAAATCTCAAACTAATGAATTACAATATAAACAAGAATATAATCAATTAAAAAATAAATATAATACATACAAATCCTTATTTACAGATGGGTCCAAGGATGGTGGCGCGGTGGCATATGCCACTGTCATTGGATCCAGAACAATCTCCTCTCGTTTACCAGATAACAGCTCTATTTTCACAGCTGAAGCAAACGCCATATTAACAGCCTTAAAATATATTAAGAAACACCCTAAATATCAACAATATATCATCTTTTCTGACTCTCTTTCTTGCCTTCAGGCTATTAAAAATATTTCTTGTAAACATCCACTTTTATTAGAAATTATTGAATTATATAATGAGCTTGCTACTGGCCAATGCGACATCGTCTTTTGTTGGTTACCCAGTCATGTTGGCATTTCTGGGAATACAATGGCCGATCTTGCTGCTAAGGCAGCACTTAACAAATCTGTGACACCACTTCTAATTCCATACTCTGATTACAAAGCTAGCATTAGAACTTTCATCCGTGATCTGATGCAGAAGAAGTGGGACACCCAAGTAGGTATTAATAAATTACATGAAATAAACCCCTATATCGGTTACACTTACTTGGGTTGTCAGTCCCGGTTTGAAGAGGTCATCATGCGACGATGTCGTATTGGCCACACTAGATACACTCATGCATACCTATTGAAAGGTTAGGATCCTCCGTTTTGTATCCCTTGTGATGAGAGAACCACGGTCAAGCATGTCTTGCTTGACTGTGTTGAATTCTCCATCATAAGGGATAAATACTTCAATGTGAAAACAGTTAAGGATCTTTTTAACACTGTTAATTTTCATTTAATTATTGGCTTTTTAAAAGAAATTGATTTAATGAATGAATTGTGAATAATATGTTCTGTACATATATGTATTTTAATTATTGGTAGATTTGCTTAGTAACTTAGATTGTTAGTGGCAGTGCCCTCGAAGGGGGGTTGAAGTAGCGTAAAATTATTGTCCTCCTGAGAGGGTACGTAAGTCCCAAAACATTTCAAGTACATTTAAGTATACCAGGTTTTTAATCGTAGTATTTTTGTTATTTTACTATATGGCTAATTTTCGGTATAAACGCCAATGGCTGAAGGTATGGTGTAAATCCAGCTAGGGTCCATGCAGGTAGCAAAGGTAATGTAAGTCCCCATGGTTCCTAGTATGGTGATCTACCTTCAGTTGTTGGCGATCTATAGGCCATTTTTACATTGTATTGTCTTCTTTAATTGGAATATTTTAGCTTTGTTCGCTAGTTTTTTATATTCATATCTGTGATCATCTAGTATTTTTACTGTCCGTCGGCAGGTGTTTTATAATATACATATATTTCATTTCAATATCAAATGTTCTCGTCACGATATGGCTGAAATATTGCCGATGTGACGTTAAATATTAACTCACTCACTCACTCACTCACTGTCAGTACTGGAGTGAAACAATATAGTTGTCACCTCTTCAAAATCACTGTCAACAACGGAGTGAATCCTTGTACATGGACCCTGTATCTACTCTGTGTTATTTAAGTATAAGCAAGGAACTTGCAATAATTTTTAAAAATTACTGAACCCACACACTAATCAACAGCAGAGTGAGTCAGTGTATATGTAACCTTTAAAGGTCACATCAACGTAAAACATAACTTTGCAGATTCTGATACCTTTCGGTATGGACTTGCCGAAACAAATCATCAAAAATGCAAATTCAATTTATAAAGCAGTCGGCAAGGAATCGAAGATGCAGGGGCAGCACATTCCACCGTTTAGCGCATGAAGGTTCCGACATCACCACTTCACCAAGGCGCCTCAAGTAGACGAGGACTTCTACCTGGTCTCCGACTCGAAGTCCCGCAGTTACAGTGTAGAAGATATGAAGTTGGCGCAGCTGGATACAACCACCCGGAGGGGCGTTCTTCAGGCTAACAAGGTCCAGGACCATCAACGAGTCGCTTTTGAGCACATTCAAGAACCATAGGATGATCCTGTCTACGCTCGTCACGCAGCGTAAAGACCATTTGGCCCCTACGGGCATCACACTACTACGATGCCACTTGGCCTCTACGGGCATTACACTACTACGACGTCAGGGATTGCTGAGTTCCTGTACATGACCGGAGGTCTACACCAACCCTCTCCTGTGGAAACCCTGGGCAATGCCTACTCTGTTTGACGGCAGCATCCGGCGGTTATCCCGTTAGGTGATGCAAGACTCCAACGACTTTATGTTGATCAAGTCCCTCCAGATGAAGAACATGTTTCGACAGTCATCTCAGCGTAGTCAGTTACGGTCCTGCTTTTCCGGCATAAAGCGTTCCAAGGAGAAAAAAAATCGAGTAGCACGGGGCGGCAACTCGGGGTCTTTTCGTCGCTCCAGTAACAACAGAAGCTACTCCGGCTGTGGGCGCTTTTCTGGTGGCGCTCGGAGCTCCCGTCATTGATATGCAGAGTCGGCACGACTGGTCCCTTCCACCTCCAGCAGCTCCTGTACAACCGTCAACCGTGAGTGGACGTCTGAGTCTCTACTGGGAAAATTGGAGAGTACTACAACACGACTACGTCATTGAGGTTCTAGGAGAGGGCTACAGACGACATCAACCTGAGGATGAGGGCTTGCCACATCTCAGGGGCGAAGAACGACTTAGCCGACGCCTTATCCTGATCGGTCAGGCCGTCTCCCACAGTGTGGATGCTGCATCCAGAGGCGTTCCAGTTGTTGACAGCAGAACTCGGCCATCCTCTTATCGACCTGTTTGCAACCCGTTTCAACCACCAGGTGACAATGTTCATCTCGCCAGTGCCAGATCCGCTAGCATGGGCTGTCGACGCCCTGGGAGGGACTTAACGCTTACACGTTCCCTCAACTGATCCTGCTACCGCAAGTACTATGCAAGATCATACAAGTGACTTTGCTCGTGCCTTACTGGCGGGCGAGATCCTGATTCCAGACCTCATAGAGCAGCACGGCAAGCCAGCACTACAACTCCCTGATTGGCCAAATCTACTCGTCCACCCTCACACCAAGCTATGGCATGGCGTTCCAGAAGCGTTCCAGCTACAGGTATGGAGCATATTACGCACTGCTTACAGAGACGAGGGTACTCCACCAGAGCAGCCAAGGCAGTGACACTGGCCTTATGTCGATCTACATGTAACCTGTATGACGACAAGTGGAGAAGTTTCGACCAGTATGCTGTTCGTCAGAGGTTCACGGCCAGAAACAAGTAGCAGACTACCTGTGTCACCTGAGGTATACTAGACATCTGAAGGGCTCTAGGCTGTCTACTTACCTGGCGGCGATCAGCTCGGCCATCACCATTCCCCCCAGGTATGAAGTTGACTAAGGTTCCTGAACTCGTCGTGTTGCTCTAACATGGGATCTCAACGTAGTGTTGCAGCACCTCATCAGTGATGTATACGAGCTGCTGACGCAGACAACATTTGAGTTGCTAACTCAAAAGACGCTGTTCCTCCTCGCCTTAGCTACTGCGGCCAAGATGTCAGAGATACACGCCCTAGACTTTGACCGTAAGAGATTCGACTACGGAGAGCATGCTGCAGTCCATAATGCTTGGAAAATGCTTTTTGGCAATTGTTTGATCATGGTTGATATTTCAGATTCAAAACTCATATATTATAATCATTCATACCACCTCGACCTAATAAGGCATATGAATAATCACGATGTACCATTCCCTAATCATAATAATTACTCGTAAAATATCGAAAAAACTTAGAAAAAATTCCATGGTAGAAACACTTCAAAGAAACAAACTATACTGTGATCCCCCTGGCAGGCAGACAGGGTGACAGCGTTATGTAATGCACAGGCAGTGCATGTCAGGGACCGTCTCAAAATATCAAGTGTCAGTATCACTTCTGGTCGAGGACTCTAGCGGAATTACAACAAGTGCAACTCGGCTGACGTTAGTGCCGTCCCGCAGACGGTATTCGTCCTCGATTTTGAGAACACGGTCTTCAGCCTTTTGCCACACTTCAGGAGTAATTCTCGCGAAAGAAGCATACACAAGCTCTTTAACGTCTGAAAGCGTTAATGTGGTATTATTGCGAGCAATAAAATTCTTACAGTTCCCCCAGATCAGCTCGATGGGGTTGAGCTCACAGTGCTGTACTGGTGTACGCAGAACTATCTGGCCTTGTTTCGCAGCTAGTTCGTCAGTGATGTACTGGCTTGGCTTTTTGTGCTGCCGGATTTTTTCCATGAGCTGGGGCTTTGTTTCTGATTGCCTGTAGGGCACGTTACAGGAAGTGATGGTACCAGTGACACGCAGACTATGGTTACTGGCCTTATCGAAAATGATAACGCTTGGTTCGTGCAGCTGCGGTAAAAGGTGATGTTCGAACCAATCCAAAAATACCTGCCCATTCATTTCGCTATTATTCCTATATTAAAAAATGGTAATGTAAATGCTCCAGAAAACTATAGACCTATAACATTATTAGAAGTTTCAGGAAAATATTCTCTAAAATTATTTGTTCCAGACTGACCGAATTGGCGACACATGAAAACATTATTACACAAGAACAGGCTGGGTTTAGGAAAGGCTACCAAACTGTCGATAATATTTTCATAATTAATGCTGTCATAACAAAGTACTTGTCATTATATCGGGGTAGGCTATATTGCGCCTTCATCGATTTCAAGTCTGCTTTTGATTCTGTCTCACGTACAGGTCTGCTATATATAAACTTTGGGTTGGCAACATTAAAGGTCGAATGCACAGGTTAATAAGTAATATGTATACACATGTTAAAGCTTGTGTCTCTCGTGGTGGTGGATATACAGACTTCTTTGATTGTGCATAAGGGGTTCATCAGGGTTGCCAGCTCTCGCCGTTTCTGTTCTCATTCTTTATTAACGATATTGTTCAGTTCCTGAGTGAAGACAATCAGCGGTGCATATCCATAGGTGTGGTTCAGCTAATTATCTTGCTTTTTGCAGATGACATTGCTATTATTGATAGCACTGTTAAAGGATTACAAAGGAGACTAGACAAGTTGTGTTTGTATTGTAATAAGTGGCAACTTCTCGTCAATAATAATAAAAGTAAAGTAACTGTTTTCAGGAAAGGGGGGCGTCTAAGATCTTATGAGAGGTTCAGGTTTAATGGTAAATCCCTAGAAGTGGTTAGTACATACAAATATCTCGGTGTCCATTTGGCTAGCTCGGGTTCTTGGCATATGACTCAGAAAACTCTTGCTCAACGAGGTCTCAAAGTCTTGCAGTGTCTGAAGTCTAAGATCTCTCAGTTTGATAAACTAGCGTTTGATGTTTTATTTCATATTTTTTATGTGAAAATCTTACCTGTGCTTACATATGGCAGTGAAATTTGGGATTCCATCCGGCACCAGATATTGAGGCTTTCCAGAATAGATTCTGTAAAGGCCTACTACATCTCAGTAGATCAACTCCCAACATTGTAGCTCGCGGAGGGGCGGTGGGGTACTCTAGTGGTTAAAGCGTTGGCTCGTCACGCCTAAGACCCGGGTTCGAATCCCCACATGGGTACAATGTGTGAAGCCCATTTCTGGTGTCCCCCGCCGTGATGTAGCTGGAATATTGCTAAAAGCGGCGTAAAACCAAACTCAGCCAGTCAGTCAGTAGCTCGTTGAGAGCTTGGGCGATATTCCATCATGGTTAATCACTATGTCAAGATTACCAAGTATTGGGTAAGATTACTCTATCAAGAAAATAATGTTATACTACATCATGTTTATCAGTATGAAAAATGCATAGCGAACAAGGGTATTGATTGTTGGGCTTTTCGAGTTAAAACTCTCCTCTTTGAATATGGATTTGGGTCGGTGTGGACCGATCAACGGGTTTACAGCATTCCTTCCTTTATTCACTCGTTCAAGCGGAGGTGTGTTGATATTGATAACCAGCGGTGGTTCAAAAGTTTAAATCAGTACTCTAAATTATCTCTATATCAGTCAGTCAAACTGCTGTGGTTTTTTAAAGTTATCTATCTAGTATATCAGTGAACATCTATCGCTCTGCACTTTGTTTTATCATTGCTTAATGATTGAAATGGGGAGGAAACTGGGGTTAAAGAGAGAGGAACGCCTATGTCCGCTATGTATTGTTCCAGCTGTAGAAACAGAATTACATTTTTCTCTACAGTGCCCATTTTATAACGAATTAAGACAATCATTATTACCAGGATATTATTGGCAATTTCCATCAGAACATAAGTTATATTTACTTTTAACATCAGATAATGTATGTACCATTGAATGTCTAGGAAAGTACGTATTCCTTGCAATGAAAAAACGTAAATCGTTTGTGTCACCAACTTAACCATAACTATTATTATACCACATGTCAACTGTGCGGCGCTCCATCAACAATTATATCTTTGTGAGATCGGGCCGTTTCCCTGTATCTCACAAGTTATCTAAAACTAAACAATAGCAAAATATGACCAACAAGTCTGACTGCAGTTCAAGAGTCTTTATTGTAAAAGGCAAGAATCATTATCGTCAGTATATATTGATAATCAATAGATTATTAACATCGTCAGTATATATTAATAATCAATAGATTATTAACATTGTCAGTATATATTGATAATCAAACACATATTTTAGCAATGATAACATTGTTATAGATTACATTTATGTCTGAAGTACATTACAATTACACAAACAGAACTACCTAAATGATATCATGAAAAGAGCAAGTTATATATACAAGACAAAGTCTAATATTTCAAATCATAACTTATACTGCATGTCGAAATAGAACTTTATTAAGTATGCACGTTGCATAAACAAGAGTTACCTTTGAATATTTAATCAAACGTAAGTTTAAAATACAAAAAGTACAAAGTACAAGTCCAACATCAATTTAGTAACCTGTCGTAAATAAAATGCAAGTCAAGTAACACAAAATACATGAAAAGTAGAATGCAAGGTCTTACCTAAACAATAACAAAATATGACCAACAAGTCTGACTGCAGTTCAAGAATGAAGATCAGGAGATGATACGCCGTATTTATATGCAAGGAACATGCAGTCAAACCTGTTGGGGTAAGACCCCCGGCAATGTTTCACAATAATGCTTTGGTAACAGCAAAATGAAACAATACAGTAGTATGGCATATTTACGCCGTAGGCACCTGTATCGTCACAGAGACTGGCAAAGGTAATTTAGAAAACAACAAACAATGAAGTGAGCAATGATCTCACTAGCTTGGCAGGAAGATAATGGGATACTGACAAGGAAGTGATGGGGGGGGGGGGGTATGTTAATCAGCTGCCTACGCCGTGGTAGTTGCTTTGACAAACAGAGAATAGTGCTGGGATATCATTTATGTTTATGGGATGTGTTTACCTTTGCCAGATATCCATGTTACAATGAATTTTATAAAGTAACATTTAATATACAAATATATGAAATGTATGGATTGTCTTTATTTGAAACAGTATAAAACATTGTATAAAACATAGCTCACATTGTTACTTTATAACATTTGTACAATGCACTGTATAATGGGCCATTTGCCCCTCTATTGCAATAAAGTCATTCATTCATTCATTTAGCTATGGTAATCGCCATCAGATTTCGTGGCCTCAAAAACAAAGTCACAACGCCCAATCAGTCCCTTGCTACGGGTACCAGCATGCAAGATGATTAGGCGTCTACCTTTGCCTGATTGGTAACACCGTTGCCTTGGAACAATCTAAAGGACGCCACATCCGATCGGTTGAGTGATTTTTATTACACCAGGTTTCATCAAGGTATATAATTTGAAACCCCAAATTGCGGTATTCTTCAACTGTTCTGAGATAAGCTGATCGCATGGACAGGATTGAGTACTTTTCTCTAAACACAGCTCTGTCATCTCCCATTTTGGTGTACCTGAACCCCATTTCTACCAGAGCTACAACAAGTGTTGCTTTCGAGACATTTATTGTATCTTTGATCTCATCTTGTATTTTAGCACACGTCGGTGGGATTTTGCGTTCATACAGTTTATAAACTGCATGGCATATGACACCCTTATCAAAGCTATCCAGTTTGTGTTTCCTACCTGGTTTTGATTGATTGAGGTAACTGATTTGTTTACAACTTTGTTAACCTGACTATATGTCAAATGAAGGGCTTTACACATTCTATAGTAAACCCTGTCATAGCTGACGAGAGGTTTCCCCCTTTGTTTCTCCAGTATGAAATACTGGTATAAATTTGAAATTAATTGTTCTGTAGAGATATCATGTTGCCAGTTCAATGCTCATACACGAAGTGAAACTTCTATGGGTGAACAAGATTATCTATGCGATTTGAATAAAGACTTTTTTACGTAATTATTTTGAATAGAACTACTACAAGAGTTCCATATTTTTCACATATCGATGTTAAAAAAAACCACTTTTTACAATCATTTATGCAATTTAATTAGTGGAGGCTATATGAATAATTAGTCTGTATTTCAAAACTACAGTTTGTACTTAGAATATTTACGGATGTTGTTAAAACGTCAAAATTTCCTCCTGTGAAGTGCATTTTTTAATCTGAGCTTTAATATCCAACTAAGTAGAGTTGTACATGTATCATATATGTGCTTTTATCTTGTGTCAAATTCATCATATTGATCTTGAAACCAAAAAGCATTTTCCAAGCATTTCCGGCCTTACTTTAAGAACCAGCTGCAGGGGCAACCAGATCGTCAGTTCTACGTTCTGGCTTTATCTAACATCCTTGGTCCAGATGACACACACGACTTGTCCTTGTGTCCGGTCAGAGCACTGTGGGTCTACCTAAATAGAACTGTTGAGAGGAGAAGGAAGTTCAAGCGTCTCTTCATCCCGCTGACTCCCGCCTCGACTGTAGAAGTCTCTCGGACGACATCTCGTTTTGGATCAGAGCGGTGACCCTAAAAGCCTAAAAAAGCAGCAGGGTTACAGTCTTCTACAGCATCCAACCCCCACGAAGTTAGAGCACTAACCTCGACACTCGACCCACCACTTATTCTGTTGGATTCGGTAAGCAAATAAGCATGAGTCAGGATAAGGAAAAATATGTAATTTTTATGATAAAATTGATATTTTATACTTATCCTGACTCATGAGATGAAGCCCTCCCAACCGTCCCATCTCACCACTCGGGCTTCCCTGTAAGCTTATGTGGGGGGTACGTTCGGAGAGAGTGAGGACAAGGCATGCAGAGGTCACGTGGGTGCCTTTGGCGGGAAAACGGAGGTAACTCGAATGTGAGTGATTGTACGTTCGCTTCAAGGAATTGTAGGGATTCAATTTTCCACTTAATCGTTCGGAAGAGAGGAATTAGAAAGCAAATAAGCATGAATCAGGATAAGTATAAAATATCAATTTTATCATGAAAATTACATATTTGATTGATGCAACAATAAAATAGTCGAAATTCGAAAATTTGGAAATAAATCTTGAAATATGCAGTTACTTCTTTGCGGTCTATCATTTAGGTTTCGACTGAAATGTATGCGCGAGTACTCTGGTGAACTAATATATAACTTCTAACAACTTCAAAAATATTTATCAACACACGCAAAAAAACACTTACACAACAATGCAGGAATTGAGTAGAATTCCATAGAATAGAACTTATAGAGCGTCTCCCCGTGTGTCAAGGAGGTGAAAAGTAGCGTTAACAGCACACAGTATCGAGGTACTACCGGAACTACCGATCCCCTAAACTACAAACACTCCTACACCCTAGCCCACTAACAGGGGAGGTGGGGTAGCCAAGTGGTTAAAGCGTTTGCTCGTCACGCTGAAAACCCGGGTTCGATCCCCCACATGGGTACAATCTGTGAAGCCCATTTCTGGTGTCCTTCGCCGTGATATTGCTGGTATGTTGCGAAGAGCGGAGAAAATAAACATACGAACTCACTCACTTCCCCACCAACATACGTGCTTTGTGACAAGTCAACCCGTCTTAATTTCTTCCGACCTGGCTGTCACCATGCTAAGGTCATGTTTGTATCAATCAATTTAATTGAGAATAGTAAAATATACATTTCACCTTCAGTCTATGTGGCTTTTTTATCGATTTGGATATTAAACATACTGCATCTTTGAATAATACATCTACTATTTCAGATATGTCAACTTTGTGTTACAGTGACGACAAATCCCAGATATTATGGAAACCCCCGGGAAATCCGCAACCTCTGTGAAGCCACCAGGAAGGGGGATCTGGAGAATGTGAAGCAGCTGCTTGCTAAAGGTCAGGCTGACATCAACTGTAAAGGGGTGCGGGGCCTGACACCGGTGATGTGTGCAGCATGGCGGGGGCATAGTAAACTGGTAAAGTTCCTAGTAAGCAGAGGAGCTTATACGTCACTAGTGACTGACAGTGGAAATACCATCCTTCACTTGGCATCTGATGGAGGGAATCTGGAGATGGTGAAGTTTCTCCTCTCAAGGAAGAGTGTGGACATTGAGGCTAGGAACAAGTCTGGAATGACAGCAACAGAAGTGGCGAGTGCTAATGGCCATCAGGAATTGAGGGATTTCCTGCAGTCCTTTAGTGGATGACTTGTGTGCAGACATGGAGAAATAATTGGTGGTGGTGGTTAATGTCGCATTCTGCATTATTCCAGCTATATGACGGCGAGTGGACCAGGCAATACATGAGCATCGATCTACACAACTGGGATACGATGACATGTGTCAACCAAGTCAGCGAGCCTGACCACCCGATCCCTTAAGTCGCCTCTTACGACAAGCATGGGTTGCTGAAAACCAATTCCAACCCGGATCTTCACGGGTTAGAGAAATATAGTACAGTCAACAAAGTTTATAAAAACACGCTCTTAGCGAATTGCTTTGGCGCCCTAGCCATATGCTGTCGACATGCATAGAACGAAGTACGGTTATAACGAACTAATAGGGTCCATTTAAAGTTCGTTATAACGGTAGTTTTCTGAAAGTTTTTTTGTTACTTTTTAGTATTTGGAACTCGGCACGATCAGGTACGAATCTTGTTGGCTGATGTAAGTTATTGATGCTGCATAAAGTGTGCATAAAAACCCCACCCCATAATTCAATCATGTGTTCAGATTATACTGATATAATTAATCGTAAAATAGACACAGTATACTGTATGCATATAGTCTCGTTCTCTCAGCTGCTGTCTTGCGCCAAATCAACAACCCTGCTGATACCATGAATCAGTGTTGTTTTTTTCCACATGCTATTATTTTTAGAAAGTTTACACCTTGGTGAATGATAAAAAAATATATCATCATACGCTGGATGTGATCTTTGTCAAAATAACTAAAAAACGTACCTTATAAAATCTGTCTTTTTAGGAATGACTAGGAAATGTACGTTTGTTACGAAGTGTAGCAACAGAAATAGAAATGAGAAATATTATTGACATTACTCTGCAATATTTTCAAATTAATACTTTATGAAATCTAGTATATTCTTGTCGAACATACATTTGATAATATTTTTCATTAAGTGAGAGTATGGTTGTACGCAACATGTGTTAATCACGCCGAGGTCACCAGAACTGAATTCTAATATTAAACCCATACGGGGAAACGAGCCAGATACTCTTTGTGTCGAGTGAACACTTTACTCACTATTTAATCTATGATATAATATCCTCTTGGACAAACACGTTCTCTGTTATTATTCATTATTTTTCATTATTTGATCGGATTGGCAGGGGAATAAGAAGTTTATCTTAACCTTTAAGTACATGTATACTGACCAGCAATAAAAATGCAACTCAGAGTTCATGAAAATTTACTTTTGTAGTTTGGATTTGATACTTTGACACAAATGTTTTGATTTCTTGAATTGCGTTTCTTTTTCTGGTCAGGTTATATCGATGATGTGATATCGGCCATTGACGGTCAAACAGCCAATCCCTTGGCACTGCTTAACCCACTAAGAAATTGAACTAGAATTGAGGACACGAGTGGGTCCGCCTCGCCAGTTTCATACCTAGATCTATGTATAAAGATACAAAATAACAAAATACTCTAAAGAAACTCGCATGGCATGAGGTATGACTTCAACATACCAGCCGCTCAAAGGTGTAAACATTTCAATATTTGATGTGCAGTCAAGCAATCTCTTTCTACCACGACTTCCAAAGCGTTATACGAATTGTATTCAAAAGTAAGTGTGTTAATATATGCACAAGCAGGAAGACGGTTACACTTATCTGTATTGCAAACGCCTGGTAACATCTCTATTTGATTTTAACATCATCTACAAGCTGAGTGAATGGTTGAATAGTCTGCAGTGTCCCGTGTACCTTCTCGGCATGTTTCCCCTTGTGTACATGGTTTTATTGCGTTAGGGCGGTTTGATAGCCCAGTGTCCACTGCCTAATTTTTATCTTTTAGGTAGGGGTTGGCCAGTAGGTGGTATGGGTTTGTCATGGTTGGTTAATCAATGAAAATTAGGTGGTAAGGGTTTGGAAGAGGTCAAGTTGAAACATTAGGGGGATGTATTGCACAAGTCAAGTTCATTATGACACAGTGAAAATGTATAATAATACCACAAGTTATGCTCATTTTGGTAAAATTGCCTAGGCATAGTGGAAGAAGCACCCACGAATCTGCACATCCTCGAATACTGCAACGGCAGCGTTGGCAACTGCTCTCTCGAAGTCGGTTTTCGGTTTGTGGTAGTTACGCCAGGGTCTTGACGTTGGAAGAGTGTACATCGACAACTTGCTTTACATGTAGAAACTCGCCATATACATGTCGCTGGAATATTGCTGAGTGCGGCGTTTAACAAGAAACAAACAAAATATACATGTAACAACAGTCTCCTTACTTTCCATTGACTCGCCCATAAGGTAAAATAATTAAGCTTAATATCATCACCTTTTCTCACTCATTTTAGGCATATGTTTCAAAATGAAAAATCTCATTAACTGCAAACATTTTGATGACACTGTCACAGTTATAACCACTCGATGCCAACGATTTACATTTGCATATATAATTTTAGTTATTTAGTTATTTCTGTAACCTACCATCATTGTCAACAATTCATTCTGTATGCTACAATTATTCAGTGTTTGCTTTTTCTTTGGCTGAAGTTCACTGCATATAATGTATGGGTCAAGTCATTTCATATGGTCGGTTTTATTTCTAATAGAATCCCATAAAATTCTACATAACTCGGGGTTACATTACTTTGGTTTAAGGTATTTTGTTACTAAGAAACTTGGACGGGGAAGCTGTGATGCAATGCATCAATGTAGACATGGATGCATTTGATGTTGATTTTCTACTGGTTAAAAGTCACGAAAATCCCATGATATGAACCGACCTTGCAAACCCCTATAGCGTGTGTAGTACTCTGTCCCCTTGTTGCCACTAGGCAGGAAGGAAGGATGTTCAATCCTTTATGTCACTGACTTCGGTGACTTCATTTGTCTGCTATTTTACTGAAAGTAGTATGATTTTATTTTAATTCTTTTTAGATATTTTGTGCATTCAGGCCGTTCATAATATTATTAGACGGCGTTATACCTTGTGTAACTGTGTTTCAACTGTCTTATTGTACTTGTAGATATACTGGACAAAATAAGTTAGGGATATTGGTATTTTTATGATTGATATTTTATCAATGGGACAATGAATGAATACATCACTATTCATAATTTCAAAATTTACATATATCCCTAAATAGTTTGACCAGTATATATGTATATATTTAACCTACTATTATTATCAATAATTCATTTCTTACACTACAGTTATTCAGTATTTGTACTTTCCTTCGTAGTCACTGTCACTGCATATAATGTATGTCTTTAATTCTAAAACAATGCCTTAGAATTCTAAAGAGCTCATGAGGGGCGGTGGGGTAGCCTTGTGGTTAAAGCGTTCGCTCGTCACTCCGAAGACCCGGGTTCGATTCCCCACATGGGTACAATGTGTGAAGCCCATTTCTGGTGTCCCCCGTCGTGATATTGCTGGAATATTGCTAAAAGCGGCGTTAAACCATACTCACTCACTCACTCACAGAGCTCAAGGCTACATTACTTTGGTTTCACCTATACTGTATATGAACATGTGTAACGCACTGCACCAGTGTATACTTGAATACATCTGATGTTGATTTTCTACTGGTTAGTAGACATGAAAATTTCAGGACATAAATCTACCCTGCAATCTCACATATCGTGTATACTACGAAGGATCTTTTTAATAATATAAGTTCTCATTTAATTATTGCATTTTTAAAAGAATTAGATTTGTTTACTGATTTGTAAATACATAAATATTTTATTATTGGTAGCTTAGATTACTAACTGAGATTGTTAGTGGCTGTACCCTCAAAGGGGGTTAATGTATTGTAAAATTATTGTCCTCCTGAGAGGGTATGTAAGTCCCAAAGACTTTTCTAGGTAGATTTAAACCTACTGTTATTTTTAATCGTAGCATATATGTTCTTTTTAATTTACAGCTAGATTGTCAAAAAATTGCTGACAGCTGAAGGGATGAGGTAAATCCAACTAGGGTCCATGCAGGTAGCAAAAGTAATGTAAGTCCCCATAGACTCTTAGCATCTTGGAGAAAAAGACATTTAACACTTATTGGTAAAATAACAGTCATAAAAACTCTAACAATCTCCAAATTGGTCCATATTTTCAATTCCTTGCCCAACCCACCAGCAGAATTTATCACGTCCCTTGACAAAATGTTTTTTAAATTTATATGGAATGACAAGAATGATAAAATAAAAAGGAATGTAATTAAAGACAACTATGAAGAAGGAGGTTTGAGAATGATTGTTGCAAAAAACATTTATAGACGCTTTGAAATTATCTACTTTAAGACAGTATTTCAAAAGAGGTAAAGAGGATAATCCATGCAATATACCTTTTAAAGACATATTTAATTTTGGAGCAAATTCTGAAACTTACTTTAAGATTGAAAATCCTTTTAAGCGTGATGTGCTAAAAGCATGGCAACTATTCCACAAAATAATTATAATGACCCAAATAACATTAATGAAATTCTATCCCAACCATAATGGTTGAATCATAATTTTAAAATATCATCCATCTGCCTGTACATCACTTTTCTACATATGGCATTGTAACCCTGGGAACCAATAAAAAAATATATATATATTTTAAAAAAGTCCCCATGGTCCCTGGTATGGTGATCTACCTTCAGTTGTTGGCGATCTTAGCCCGTGTTTTATATTGTATTGTCTTCCTTTATTAAAATCTTTTAGTTTGACATGCTAGTTTTATGTTCATATGTGTGATATTTTAGTACTTTTACTGTCCATCGTCGACAGGTCTTACCCTCCAAAATGTTTTCATTTTTCATTGTTTTAAATTGTTTTCGTCACGACATGGCTGAGGGCACCCATGAAAGGCCACCTCCTCGTGGTGGGTGCTGGGTCACGCTAAGCGCCTTTCAACCCCCCCGTTGTGGACCCAGGGGGCATATTTTGGTCCACCAACCCGTTTGCCGTGGGTTGCGCCCCTGTGTCGGTGGAGGACGGGAGGCTGGTGGTTGAGGGCACTGGGAGCCTGGAACCGT